TAGCACGTATTAATAATGTATTTGTTTATCCATCAGAAATAAATGTTGATCAACTTAAAGATGCACTTAGTCGAACTCTTTCTTTATGGCCATTTGTTGTTGGTCGTACTATATTAGAGAACGATCAACATCATATCATTGAAATGTGTGACAATCCTATTCCAATAACATTAGTTATTAATAACGATTTGAAAGAATGGCCTTTGGATTCAAATGTTATTGTAGAAGCAAATAACAAATTATTTCCAATATTTATTGATGAAGTTCAAGTAACGAAATTCTTTAACAATCCATCTGATGAACCACTTGTTCGTTTAAAATTAACTCATATTATACAAAGTAATGAATGGGTATTAGGTATTAGTTGGTATCATCCGTTAGGTGATGCTGCTGCATGTATACATTTTTCTAATACATTATCACGTTTATATCAACAAATGGAACCTACACAACCATTACCAATATTTCAACGCCGTTTATGGCGAGAAGATGAAGCTGATCAATCAGTTTTACCTATACCAAAACAATTTCGAGATGCTCAATCTATAGAAGAAGTTTCAAAAATATCCTCTGCTTATCAACTTAATTATGATCAACTAAATCTACATTTCTCTGGTAAACAACTTGCTATCTTACGAATGTTAGCTGATGAAAATAGTATAACAATACAAGATGTACTTACAGCCTATATTATTTTGACACTTAATAAATATTGTTATAATAATAATGATGAGCGTCGTATTTTACATACAATTACAATCGTTAATTCTCGTGGTGTTTCGGATTTCATTGCTCCACAAGGTCAAGTATCTAATTCTTTATTCATGATGTTATCGAATGATTTTGATGATCCGTATTCATTATCAAATATTGCAAAGACAATACGTCAATTGATTATTCAGTTACGTGATCCTAAAGTTCTTGAATCTGGAATTGCTACTATTGATGGATTAATCAGAAAGAATATCAGAAATAATAAATTTCCGAATCCACAACTTGTTCCAAATGAAATTGCTGTTAATTCAAATTTTAAATATGATTGGGCAAATTTAGTTGATTTCGGTTATACAGATAAATGTCGATTTTATACAATTTGGACGAGTGTATTATATTTACGTGTATTTCGTCTTAATCCCGAAAAAGAAGGAAATCAATGGTTACCAAGAGATCGAGATGGAGCTGAAGTATCATTTCGAATGGAAAAAGATTTAAAAGAAAAGTTTATTAATGCATGGAAACGAGACATTATTGAAAATTTTCAAAATGTAAAGAAATAGAAGTTTATTTTAATTTGATTGAA